GATCGCTTCGAGCACGTATCCGCCTCGGAGCAAGCTCGCATGAAGCTGCGTGCATGGTCGCAGATGGGATCTGTCCAAGACTACACGGCGTCATTTATGGGCTTCGCCGACCAAATCGATGACATGTCGGAAGCTGAGCGGTTGGATAAATACGTGAGCGGCCTTAAGTACGAGATACAGTTCGAAGTTCGCCGCAGCCGCCCGACATCGTTCCTCGAAGCAGTACGCGTGGCAGAGTCAACGGATGCGCTGATGCAGTACGCGAGAACGGCTTCCAGGGATGGGAGAGGTTTTCGTGGCCAGACCCATCGGGCCACAATCAACGCCGTCCATACACCCGACCGCCCTCCTAAGGGTCAGTGTTTCCGGTGTGGGAAGGTGGGTCACTGGAAGAACGAATGCAAGGAGAAAATGCCGCTGACAGAGAACGACAGGAAGGAGCAGGGAAATGGGAAGAGTCAGTAAGTAGCGGGCCCTTTACTGACTGTGCTCCGTCGCCCGAACACCACCATCCCCACCGAGTCGTGGTTCCGATTCATGCAATCGATCGCACTCGGCCGAATAACGGGGATAACCATGTGGATCACCCTGTGCTGGTCGCTGGCAAGGTGGGGAAACATCATTTGAAAATGTTCGTCGATGGAGGGGCCAGCCATAGCCTCTTCAACTTGGCGAGCGCAAAAAAATGCAACATGCAACTTGACAGGTGTCTGCCCGAAATCGACGCACGACTCGTGGATGGGACGCCTCTGGCGATAACGGAAGAAACACGGACGGTGCGGATCGAGTGCGGCGAAGATTTCGGCTTCAGCATGAAGTTCCTCGCGACGACGCTGGATGGCTGCGACGTGCTGCTGGGACGCGATTGGCTGCGACGACACAACCCCGTCATCGACTGGACAACGGGATCGTGCTGCGTCAGCAAGCACGAGGGGCTAATTAAGTTGCCTGCATGGACACCTGACTACATACAAGCCCCGTGCGTCAAAGCCATCACCATCGCCCACCACTTCAACAGGGGTGCGCAGCTGTTCGCCGTCTGCTTGCGCGAGTTGGCAGTCGACACCGACGGAAAGGACATCGAAAAGCTGTGTGCAGCTGTTCCTCCGGATTTAGCGGAGCTAATTCGACGGTACCCCGACATTTTCCCGGACGATCTGCCACCTGGGCTGCCACCCGAAAGACCCGAAGACCATAAAATCCAGTTGGAACCTGGCGCGCAACCTACTGTTCGGACACAGTGGCGGTTGACCCAGCCGGAACTCGAGGAACTACGCCGACAAATTGACGCACTGTTGGAGAAAGGGTTCATTCGGCCTAGCACCTCCCCGTTCGCGGCACCGATCCTGTTCACTCCGAAGAAGGACGGCGGGCTTCGCATGTGCATCGATTATCGCGCGTTGAACAGGGTGACCATCAAGTCTCGCTACCCAATCCCACGCACCGACGACCTCCTCGATCAACTTCGCGGCGCTCGCTACTTCTCGAAAATCGACTTACGTGGCGGTTACCACCAGATTCGGGTCTTCGCCGACGATTGTCACAAGACCGCGTTTCGTACACGCTACGGGAGTTACGAATTCACGGTGATGCCTTTCGGCCTCACGAACGCGCCTTCGACATTTCAACTGACCATGAACAGGGTTTTTCGCGATCTTCTAGACCGATGTGTCATCGTCTATTTGGACGATATCCTGATTTTTAGCAAGACACGGGAGCAACACCTCCGCGACCTGGACGCAATTTTTCAAAGGCTGCAAGAGAACCGGCTCATCACCAAGGGCTCTAAGTGCGAGTTTTTTAAGCAGGAGTTGGAGTTTTTAGGGCACGTTATCTCCCGCGACGGCATCAAAATCGACCCGGCGAAGATTAAAACCATACAGGAGTGGAAGGCCCCGACTAATGTCACGGAGCTCCAGAGTTTTTTGGGGTTCGTGAATTACGTCCGGCGGTTTATCCCGAATATGGCGGGGATAACCGGCCCGCTGACCGACCTGCTGCACAAGGACAAGAATTTCGTGTGGGGGGAGGAAGCAGAGGTGGCTTTCCAGGAGCTCAAGAATTTTCTCGTTTCCCCTCCTGTGCTGCGCATCGCCGACCCATCGAAGCCGTTCGAAGTCGTAACCGACGCCTCTGATTTCGCCATCGGAGCAGTGCTTCTCCAGGATTTCGGGAACGGGCTGCAGCCGATCGCCTACGAATCACGCAAGCTGCAAGCTGCCGAACGCAACTACCCGATCCACGACAAGGAGATGCTCGCCATAATCCACGCGTTTAAACTGTGGCGATGCTACCTGGTGGGCGCCGACGTCACTGTGCGCACGGACCACAAGTCCCTACAGTACCTGCGAGCTCAACCGAACCTCAACCCGCGACAAATTCGGTGGCTGGATTACATGGAAAGCCACTTCACCTACCGCATCACGTACAAGAAAGGGGCGAATAACATCGCCGACGCCCTGACCAGACCGACCGTACAATCCGCTGCTGTACTGATCACCCATTCGAACCCGCTACTTACAGGACTATTCACCCACGGCTACACTACGGACCCGTTCTTCACGACAGGAAATCATCAGCAGGCCACGACGCAGAAGGGGGATTATTACCTAAAAGCCGGCACCGACAGGATTTGGGTCCCCGCTTACCGGCTGCTGCGTGAACTCCTCATCCAAGAGGTCAACGATTCGAACTACTCCGGACACTTCGGGGTTGATAAAACCCAGAAATTACTGCACCGTCAATATTACTGGCCCGATTCCTCTAACGACGTGCAGCGTTATGTGTCCTCATGCAGGGTGTGCCAAGCCATGAAATCGACACGTCAGCGACCAGCTGGGCTGCTGCAACCCCTCGAGCCACCCGAACGACCGTGGCAACAGGTGACGATGGATTTCGTCACGGGGATGCCAGCTGGGCCGTCCGGCAACGACGCTGTCCTCGTCGTTGTCGATCGCTTCACGAAAATGGTGCACTTTGCACCATGCCGAACGACGATCACAGCCGAAGAAACTGCGCGCCTCTTCATCTCAACGGTCGTGCGACTACACGGCATCCCTTCGGCGATCATCACCGACCGGGACCCGAAGTTTACATCCAAGTTTTGGAAGGAAACATGGGCGCAGTACGGCACGAAGCTACAGTTCTCATCGGCCTACCACCCACAGACGGACGGACAAACCGAGCGAACCAACCAGACGATGGAGCAGCTGATACGGACAAACTGCCCCGACCCCGCACGATGGGAAGATTCCCTTGCTATGTTGGAGTTTGCCTTCAACAACGCACCATCGAGCACGACTAATCACTCCCCGTTCTTCTTGAATTACGGGATGGATCCGACGGTGCCCACGGCAACTTCGCTCGACAACCCGGTCCCGCGATCACAAACTTTTGTGACGGAACTTCAGCACATCCGCGAGAAAGCAGCAGACGCAATTCGCAAAGCGAATATTACTTCCCGCAAGTACACCGACCTCCTACGCCGGGAACTCGTCTTGACCACTGGGCAATTAGTGCTCCTCGACACGAAGAACCTGCATCTGCCCGGCCCATCGAAGCTACGGCCCCGATTTTGCGGACCGTTCAAGATTATCAAGATGGTGACACCTGTCACCGCGAAGCTGTTACTACCGGACGACTGGCGAATTCATGACGCCTTCCACGTCAGCCTGCTTCGCAAGTTCGTGCCAGCCACGACCGACATCGCACGTCGGCAAACCGTCCCGACAGCTCGACCTGTCCCGGAGCCGACACTCGATCCATCGAAGATTCTCGCTCATCGGGTTCGACTTGACGCAGCTGGCCGACACGTGGATTTCTTAATCCGCTGGACTGATCGCACCAGTGAGGACGACACGTGGGTGCCATCCGCCTCGCTCGACGCCTCGCCACTTGTTGGTGATTATTTGGCACGCAAGCGTGTTTCGGATATTGACCGCCTTTCTTAAGGGGGGGGGTGGTGTAAGGAATTTTCTCGAATTCCTTATCGGGGTTGACTGCTGCGCGTACAACCCGATTTTCGGAGTTCGCACGATCGGGCGATTTCCACGCTGCCGAAGCTCCTCGCGTCGCCTTCGGCATTCCCATCGCCAAACCTGCACCCAACCTCGCTCGTCCGAGGTTTCCTCCTAGCTAGGCTAGCCTACATTAGTTCTCGCATTCATTGTATTCTCAGATTCATTCAGTCACAGTCTCGTTATTCGTTTACCTGCGCACTCTCTTTTACAACTCATAACACTCCGCTACGATTTTGTCGCTCCCCTGCCACATTGAGCACCCTTCCCTCCTCACCTCATTGTCGTACCTGTTGCTCGGGCTCGGTTATATCCTCAAGCCACGTGCTCATCATCCCGCTATTCTCTAGGTTTAGACTCTAGGTTCGGGGGAACGCACCGCGTGTGCCGAGGCTAACGAACCTGACATATTTCCCGCCATCCATAGATGTTCTGGTGCCGCACTCGGTATTCCCAATTGCGGCGGATGCTCGAGCATTACGCGCTGCCCAGACCATCCCACCTTGCTGGCACATAGAACACACGTGTCACAATTTGAATCGCCGCTTACAAATCGGACACTCGCTCGACACCCCGATACCCCCAACCAGCCGACGACATCGCCATGCGCTGCGAACATCGCAAGCCCTCGCAAGCCCATCCCGCAGGCCCCCCAGCAGCGGCGTTCCGCAGGTTCCCCCGTTTGCCTCGCTCCCCCTGCCAGCGAGCCTCCCACCCGTCCCGTGCCTCTCGTCGCATTCCTCGCTCGCTCGCTTCCACTCGCTTCTTACTCGACGCTCATCGGAATCGCAGACGGAAAAGCATAAGTAGACCTTCAGGATGTTCATTTTATTCATCAGTCCCTATTGATGCTACTTGCAAGTCTCCTACCTTGCTCCCTCGTTACTACCAGCTGTCTAAGCCTGCTTGAGCTCTCATAATCTCACGTACGAACTCTGCCGCGGAAACCTTAGCCTTACTTCCTACTTTCCGTCCCTCAACGACATGGCCTGCGTCGGTGCTGAAAACGCCTGCCTGGACGTCGAATCCCTGTTCGCGAGCTGCTGGGAGCAGAATGACTCTCTCGCTCGCTTCGTCTGCAGCATGATTGCAGCTCCACGCCTGGTAAAAACCCCTTCGTCCAGGCCAATTGCTTCAGTTATTACAAACCCTCGTCTTTTTACCAGAAATGCTTGTTCATGTGTAACATCCATTGTTTTCTGGTAATGTCATGACGCTTCTCGTAAACAGCAACTAACCTATCTCTTTTTTTTCTCATGCAGGCCGTCTCCAGCTGGATCAGTCCGTGCGAGCAAGCAGCAGTGGAGGTGCTGTCGGTTCCCGTTCTTCCTGTTGTCGCTCCTCTGAAAGAGGCTGCCTCAACAGATGCAGAACTGGAAGCCGTGACTGTAGATGCTTCAATCGTGATTGCTGCCGTTTTGACTGACGCTGAGGAAGCTGAGGAGGCTGAGAAAGCAGAGGGACCGAAGGAGCTGAAGAAGAAAGCCACTTCGTTCCTGGAGCTGCTTGCTCAAGAAGACTCAATTGCCTCACGTACCTCCTCAGTTGACTCAGTTGCTGCTTCCTCTGCCAAGGTTGCGGCCTGGTTGGGTGTGAATACTGGATCAGTGCATGATGGGAAGATGGGAGCAGAGGCAAAGCAGGGTGGGAAGCTGGGAGCAGAGGCGAGCAGCGGATGGTGCAGCTTAAGTCGCAGTGAGAGCAGCTGCAGCAGCCGCAGTGCGTGTCTCATCCACCTCTCCTCGGACTCCTCCTGCTCCTCCTCCTCCGCTGATAGCCTCTGCAGCAGCCCCACTCGCTTGACGGCGGAGGTAGCTGGTGTGAAGAGGGGGATTGACCGAGGCGTTTCCAGGATTGGGAAGGGACACCCTCAGTCCACTGCTGATTACTTCAGTTCGAAGGCTAGGAGGAGGATCACTGGCTCCAGCAGCCGGGTCGCTCTCCGGAGAATCAGTGGTGCACTGAGACAGTTCTAGGTAGATTTTCACTAGATATCTCTTTACTAGGTGTAGCAGGTGTGGCTGGAACCAGAGAAATGTCAGAATGAGAACTACAGCGGAATGTGTTGCATTGACAGAATTGGGGTACATAACCTAACCCTAACTAGTTGTACCCCATATAGCCCAACCCACTACAGGCTATAATATTTGACACACCCCCATAGCCTAAGTGGGGAAGGCCAATCAACAACAAGCAACCTACAAGACCAGTCAAAAGCAAGAGAAAGAAAACAAAGCTCAGGGTGGATCACAACGTCACCACCTACCGTATTCCCCCGGATAAAACACCCACCCCGAATTGTACACCCCCGGGTAGCTTGTGCGGGGTGGGTGTTATATTTGACCCCGTTAGTACTATACCCCCCCTTTTGGGGTGATTCTCTATAACACCCCCCTTTTCATATAGATTTATTATTATAATAGCTGATAACGAGTGCGTGCAAGTATGGGAGGACGCGAAAATCCCTCTCTTTACGAAATTACACGGAACTTTCAAATGATATCTGCCGAGATTCCCCCCTCCCACAATTTCGCTGTCGCCAGGCTGGCGAATCTTTCGTGGTCAAGTGGCCAAAGAGTTGCCACATGCCATCTCCAAGGTGGTCAAGATTTTTATCATTTGCCGAAACTCGCGTTCCGCCTCAAGGTTAACCAACTTCAAAAACATCGAAGCTGTCCATTTTTTAAAATCTTTATGTTAAAAAATGTCATATGATTAGACCCTGGTATTATATAGGATTTTCCGTTGAGGAGACCCCCCCCATTTTTTCCCAGTGGTTATCATAATACCCCCGGGTGTTTTATCCGGGGGAATACGGTAATCTGAGCACAAGCAAAGGGCCACAAGGCCAGTCCAAAAGTGTGCAAACAAATATATATAAGGTACAAGCAAGCAACAGACAAAGAGCACCCTACAGCAGTCAACTAGACCCAGTCTCAACGAGGCCTAACTGCAGACAAAACCGGCGGTGGTCACAAGGCTGGAGGGCCTTGGTGAAGATGTCTGCAGTGTTGGCCTCGGAGGCCACAAAGTCCAGACGAGCCTGTCCGCGTCTCTAAAACTCTCGAAGGAGGAAGTACCTGACGTCAATGTGCTTCACTCTGCTCTCCAGTCGCAGCTCTCGACACAGGAGAATCATCGCCTTGTTGTCAGCAAACAAGGTCGGTGCAGAGCTCGGCTGCTCACCAAGGTCAGTGAGCAAGAAGGTCAACCAGCGCAGCTCCTGTGCAGCAAGGGCTCCAGCGTAGATCTCGGCCTCTGCGGTAGAAGTCGCAACAGAGGAGGACCGAGTAGACCTCCACGAAACAGCTCCAGAACCCAGACTGAAACAGTAACCCTGTGTAGACCTCTGAGTCTCAGCGTCGTCAGCGTACGAGGAGTCACAGTGACCGGTGAGTCCTTCCAAGTACAAGCCCCATGTCTGACGTCGTGGCCAGGTACTTCGCCACCCTCTTAGCCGCCGTCCAGTGAACAGGACGGTGTCTCCCAGTCGCAACAAAGCGAGAAAGGATGCTAAGAGGGAAGGCGAGGTCCGGGCGAGTGCACGTCATCAGGTACATGAGGCAGCCCACCAGCTCTGCGTAGGGACCACTGGGCTCGAACGGCTCGTCAGGAAAAGGCCCAGTGAGTCTGTGGTCTACAGCAAGAGGAGTGGGTGTGGGAGAGGAGTGCTGAAGCCCGAACCGCTGAAGGACATGCTGCACCATGTGTGACTGAGTCAGAGTGATGGTGCGAGCGGCTCTGTCCCTGGAGATCTGCAAGCCAAGGTAGCGGCGCAGTTCCCCAAGGTCAGTGCAGGTGTGTCTCTTCTGCAGTTCGGACTTCACCTCCGCCAGTGCAACAGTGTCGGCTGTGGCGAAGACCAAGTCGTCAACGTAGACCAGATAAAGAAAGGTGTGCGCCCACGACGAACAAACAGCGACGGGTCGGCGGAGGACGGCTGAAAACCAAGGTCGGAAAGAGTAGAACGAAGAGTGTCGTGCCACTCGCGGGGTGCCTGGCGGAGACCGTAGACCGGTCGTCTGAGGCTCCACTGGGTCCCAGGCGGGAAGGTGCCAGTGAAGCCCGGAGGACGACGCAGCCAGATCTCCTCGTGTAGGCGGCCCTGCAGGAACGCTGTGGAGAAGTCGAGGGAGTGTAGCTCGTAGTCTCTCTGCGCCGCTACGTGAAGCAACACCCGAAGAGTGGTCATCTTCGGGGTGGGCGCAAAGGTCTGAAAGAAGTCAACCCCCTCGCGCTGACTAAACCCTCTAGCCACGTAACGTGCCTTGAAGACTGGGGGAGATCCCGGCGGCCGCTTCACCTTGAAGATCCACATGCCGTCGACTATGTTCGCCCCTGGTGGGGGAACGTCGTCAACGTAAGTGCCTGTGGACCTGTAGGAGGCCATCTCTGCGTCCATGGCAGCTCGCCACTGAGAGGCCCAAGGCCCTGACACTGCCTCAGCGTAAGTGCGAGGAGTAGGTATGTCAGGAGCGTCGGGGTCACCCTCAGGAGCAAGGAGCATGGCACAGAGATGAGGCGAAGCGGCTGCTAGGAACTCTAGCTCAAACTGTCTGTCCTCTAGGACGTCACAGCCAAGGGCAGACACACCCCCGGCGGACAGAGGACGGACAGGAGGAGCTGCCACAACACGAGTGGCGTAGTCAAGGCGACGCGTAGCAGTAAAGTCAGTGACAGCGGCAGTGAGGACTGCGACAGAGGAAGGAGAGGCACGAGGGTCTGTAACAAGAGAGGCGAGAACGCGAGAGAGAGTGGGACGGTAAGTGCGGTAGTAGTCAGTGACAGGAGTGGACAGGGCGGCAGTGAGGGACGACTCCGGAGGACGAGGGAGAACAGACGGAGGAGAACGAGGAGGGCTAGGGTGAAACAAGGCGGCACGGAGGTCAGTGACGGGGGACGAGGGACGAGCACGAGGAGAACGAGGAGCCCAAGTGTGGGCAAGTGGAGAGGGAGAGGGGGGAGAGCGAGAACGAGGGAACACAGCCGGAGCTGAGTCCGGAGGAGGAAACGTAGGACCGAACACAGGAGGAGAGGAGGGGAGACCAAGGGCCCGAAGGCCAGAAACAGGGGCCGGAGACTGCTCCGGCTGCTGCTGCTGCTGCTGCTGCGACGGCGGCGGCTGCTGCTGCTGCTGCTGCTCCCGCTGCAACTCCAACCTCTCACGCTCCACCCGCTGCTGAACCTCCAACCTCTCGCGCTCCAAACGCTGCTGCTCCTCACGCTCAAGACGAAGACGGGCCTGGTGTCGAGTCGGGTAGGAGTGAGGAGGAGGAGTGAGGTCAGGAGAGGAAGACGAAGAACCGGCTCCACCCTCGACAGCGCCCGGCTGAGCACCCCCAGAGCGAGTGCCCCCCGCTGCAGCACGACCAGCACCTGTGGAAGGCAAACCCGCACCCCCAGTCGTGGTGCGCCCAGTGGCACCAGCACCAGCCTCAGACTCTCCAGCTCCAGAAACACGACCAGCTCCAGCACCACCACCGACTCCAACACGCTCGGGACGTGCAGCTGCGGCAGGTGCACGCTCAGCTCCAACTCCAACACCCCCAGAACCGGCACCGCCAGAGCCCTCACCTCGAGCACCAACACCCTCAGAGTCCGCAGTGGCCGGGAGAGGAAGCGCCGACGGCTGCTGCGGAGGCTGTGAGGACGACTGTGGGGAAGGAGGAGAGACCTGGGGGGGTACCGAGGGAGGGGGGGTAGCCTGTGACACACCTGACGGAGCGGGAACCGGGGGGGGTACCGGAGGAGAGGGAGCGGGAGGAGGAGGAGCTGGGGCGAGGAAGAGGGGAGGGGGGGGAACCGGGAGACCTCGACAGGGGTACCGGACGTAGTAGGGGACAGACTCGTCGAAACTGACGTCACGAGAGTCAAAGAACCGGTGGGAGGGAGGGTGGTAAAAGGTGAAGTCAGAGGAGGCCTCAGGGAAACCAAGGAAGACACAGGGGACGCCGCGAGGTGAGAGCTTGTCCGCAGAGGTGTCGCGGACAAGCGCCAAGCAGCCCCAGACACGAAACCTCGACGCAACACCAGGGGACCCTGTCCAAAGACTGGTCGGTGAAGCCCCTGGCCGAGAGACGCGAGGCCAGAGGTTCAGCTGGTGAGCGGCGTACCGAGCCGCGTAGGGCCACAGAAAATGGGGCGCGCGGGCGTGGATCATGGAGGTGCGGGCAATCTCCATGACCAGGCCTAGCCGGCGCTCAGCAACCCCATTCTGCTGTGGAGAGTCTGGAAGAGTCCAGGACTGGGTGATGCCCTGCTCAGCACAGAATCTGGCGAGAATGCCGGAGCGAAACTCACCCCCACGGTCAGAGTGGAGACAACTGACACGACGACGACGAGTGTTCTCGGTGGCGAGCAGCCACCGGATCAGCGTAGAAGTCACGTCGGACTTCTTCGCCAAAGGGAACACGGTGGTGTACCGAGAGTAGTCGTCAACGACCACTAGAAAGAAGCTCTCTCGCTCAGGTCCAAGCCGGGAAGCGGGGCCCCAGACGTCTAAGTGGAGTGTCTCAAAGGGCTCGGAGGCTGTATGAAGGGAGGAGGAGTGAGGAGTGGCGCGCAGCCGACCCTGGACACAAGGACCGCACGGAGGAGCGGGGGACGGCGGGAGCGGCGGGAGGTCGCGGGGGAGGCCTAAGACAAGACGCTGACTGGACATAGCGCGGAGACGAGAGAGGGACGGGTGACCAAGGCGGTGGTGCCAGAGGAGGACAGGGTGGGACAGCGACCGACACGAGCACGACGCAGCCACTAGACCTGGCACAGCTACCTGACTGGACCTGGCTACCTGGTGGGACGGGGGAACCGGACGGGTGTCGGTGTGGAGGGTGTACAGACCAGAGCCCGGCTCCTGACGAAAAGTGGCCAGAGGGGCGTACGTGTCACCGTCCACAGAGACTGTAGTGTCACCAGAAGGCTCAAACAAGACCTCGACGTGCTGTCTCTGTCAAACATTATATATGTTGCGTTTGTT